CTTTACCTCAGCATTACACTCTCCCCAAGCAGCTGCAGCAAATGCCAGAGAGAGGCTGAGCTGTCACTGAAAGGAAAGACAGAAAGATGAATTCAGGAAACACATTCTAATGATAAGGTTCATACTACAAGAGCTTAGTAATCTCCAGCGTGGATAAACACACGTTTTCCTGTACAGCACACACACAGCCCCATCTTCCTCAAGATGGAGTTAACAAACTGTCTTGCACACCCAATAAAGATCCAGCTACTGTTCAAGTACCAACAGAGTAATTGTTTGGCAGCTGCAGCAGCGAGCAAAGGCAGCACAAGGAAGGTTTAGTTGCCAGAACTCTCAGCACAAGGCTTTTGGAAGTCTCTTGTAACACCAGATAGGTTTTAAGGATAACCAGGAGCCTGCCACAGGAGCACCAAATGGTGATGACACACATCTCCAAAAGTCACAGGATGCTGCAGATCCCCACATCTCAGTGTGGAGTGTGAATGAGCCTTTGGAAGTGCAGTCAATTCAGTATCACACGGTCAGCCCCCATTTCGTGCAGGGACTAACACATATTGTACAACGGGTCTCAGTTTAAAAATCAAACACCTTGGCTTACAGTTTATTGAGCTGCTGCCCTGCAGAAGAAAGCACCTATTTAACTTAGTCTTTGAAAAGCAACTTTTATACTGCTATAAACCATCAGCTCCTGCATCAGACTCTCTTCTGCTCCTAAAACAAAGGTATTTACTCACAGCTTGAGACCTTGAGGCAACTTGGCACATCCAACTGTTATCATGGCAATAATCTGATTTGCTTTCCTTCCCAGTTCACTCCTGGAAGGAACTATTTTGACTAAAAAAAAAACAAACCAGAAGGTAACCATACTTGTGCTGCAAAAGGTGTGGGGTTTTTTTTTTCTTTTTAAATTATAATTTAACACCACACTCTTGCCTCCACTTGAAGAGGGGAGGACAAGCACTTTCTGAGAACATTTTCAGGTAACAAGCTTAGATTTCAAGCCGGATGTAATCACTTTCTGTGGCACCTGAAGGGAACGACAGGCTCCTCAGCTTTACCTGAGCAAACGGACTTTAGTCTGACCCACTGCCAGGCCATAAAAGTCCAAAGAATCCTTCTGAAGTCCCTGGCAGCCTCACTAGGCAATACAGCTCACCCAATTTTATATGCTCAGTTACTGAGCAGCCTCAAATGCTGCATTTCAGCAAGCAGAGCAGTTTCAAGGCACCAGAAGTGGTAAAATCATGATGGTGTGGAAATAGAGGCACCATTTAAAACATAAACCCCAAAAAGCAAGCAGCAGATCCTGACAGCAAATCCAGTGCAGCTGCAGCACCGCTGCTGCCCTGGGCCCTGGAGATGTCGTTTGTCAGCAAAACAAAGATGCTGAATCCTTGCAACCTTGGCACAGAACACACAAAACCTGAATGTCAATACCTCAGCGGGTGTAAACACAACTCACAGCTCAATACATGTGTGTTTTAGGTAAATTTTAACAACCTGGGGATGCTGCAAAGAGCTCGTTAACACAGATGCTCCATTAAGAGTGTATTCAGTGTGGCAGCAGCGTGTCTGGGGACAGGAGGGATGTGCAGGCCAGTTTAGCTCCACAGCCTCCAGACAGCCTAATAAAAATGTCAGAACACAGCTATGAAGGTAATAAATGTAACAAATAGATTGTTCAGGACATCTGCTTATGCAGCACTGCCTGGGTTCCACCAGGCAAGAGTGACAGGGACTGGCTCGATCAGGGACTCCAGAGCAAGAACCTGGATCTGTGTCAGGGCTTTGGGGATCTCACCCATAAACTGCAAGAATGGTCACTGCTACAGCCGGACACAGAGGAGGGCTTGGGTGTGAGAAAAAATGTTGCAGAAGCCAAGCTGGTTTCACCTATTTGTTCAGCTTCAGGTATTGGCAGCATTAACTTGCTGGGGTTTTTAATAATGGATAGAAATATTTGTACAAGTCAGATCTATGTTCACTGTACCCAAGTACTTTCCTCAGTAGGAAAACAAATCATTCCTCTTTGCATCAACACAAAAGAGTTCGACAGGAAATGCCATTTCAAGCACCTTCCAAAGATGACTGCAGAACACACAGGAACTCTCTTTCTGCACTCTGATAGCTCTTTCCATCTTTTGGACAAAAGTTTAAGCAGATTCTGCTAATTTCCAAAGCAGAAAGCTCCTCAGTCCACGATGGTGCTGTCGAGTGCAGACTTGTCAGGTCATTTGAATGCTCTGTAGAGCAGGTTTATGTTTAAACAGCATTTTCACACAGTTCTCCCTTCTCTGTGGCACCCAGTCCAGGCAATCACAGGCCTCTGCGGTGTTAGATTAAAAAAGCACAGGTCAGCAAACAGACAGATCATTTTGTTTAAGTATGGTGATCACCTAAAAGTTTAAGCTTCTGTTTGTAACTTATTTCTCTGCCTCTCTGAAGGACATTTTAGTCTGCTGCTCTTCCTAGTCTCTGCTCAACAAACACTGTCCCTCCTGCTGTCCTGCTGCCAGGCCTTCCTGCATGTTCCCCTCACCTCAATATATGTGCCATACCTCATCAGGGAGGGAAGATAAACAGCAGAAACCTAACACAAGAAGTTATCTAGATTTTTGCTAACCACAGGATTAGCAGTGCTGTTGAGCTGGATCTGAGTGTAACATTTCTTCTGAGACAGCAATCCCCAGGCTGTGCAGAGCCGTGGGGACACTGGAATGGAAATGAAGGCTCTACCCAACGATTGTCAAGACTGAACACTGCAAAAACATGACACCAAACAAGTCCATGTGCTTATGCTCAGGTCTTCACTAACTCCCTTGCAAGCATTAACACCTTTGTGCACTAGGATCCTATTTAATAACCTTTGAAATGTTATTTTATTTATGCAAACAAACATTTAGTCCTACCACAGCAGTACTCCTGGCTTCAGTGTCCAGTTACCAGGATGAGTTTGGACATGCCTGATGCCTGACATGCTGAGGTAGCACATGAACACATTTTCCATGACCGCAGGAGACAAAAGGTCTCCACACCAGTAGAATTTTACAAACAGCAAAATAAATAAAAATCCCACCCCAAACACTGACCACTGCCTGGAGCTGCAGCCAGGTCACCTGAATGGAGCCTCAGGAGAAGTGGGTCGTGCCCAGGCAGGCAGTGAGGAATGTCAGGTTCCTGCAGAGCACTACCTGAGTGACACTGCAGCTGGAAACACACTTTTCCTTTTAAGCCAAACTCAATCTGTAGCCTTTTTACTGCTTGGATTTTTAATAGCTGCTACTTGCTATGTTCTTGTGAGAACTGGGGATTAGATATACTCAGGAACTGTTTATGGACATCTGCTGCTCCTCCACAGCAGGACTCCAGGTTCACTACTTACCCCATTTGACTCTATTATTTTTATCCTACTGTAATCAAACACATTTAACACCCACCCCCTTGTTTTTCCCCAGAAGGAGTTTGGTTTTAGTTAGCTCTGTGACCCCAGTAACAGGAGTCACGGAGCTCAGATCACCACATCAACAGCAGGCTGTCATTTCCTACCCCAAGAAGTTATTTCAAATATATTTTTAAAATGCTCATTTCAGACCTAACCTACAATGGTTGCTAAGTGCCCACAACAATTAAATACCTCCCATCCCTTCCAATACATTATGTATACTGAGATCAAGTCATGAGCTGATCTTGTGACTGCTGGAAGGCCAAGAGTAAAATGAAAAATTGGAGTTTAGCAGAGTTCAATTTGAGCCTTCGGGAATTGTGCTTTCCAGCTTTCCTCTCACTCATGAAAACTGTAAAATGAAGAAACAGCAATTCTTAAATCATCAGTTAGGGCTAGAAGACTGAAGTAAACAGGGCAGTCACCTTCCCTGAGCCACAGAATCACAGAACTGCAGTGAAATCATGGGAATGTGCAACCAGGACAGTGTTTTCTTTTGCAGATTCATCCAAGTTGGCCGCAAAACACAAAGCCCAGATCCCATTCAAGTATTTTAAATGCTAGATATTATGGCTTCTGTTGCTACCTACTCACACAAACACCATTAAGCAAAGAACCATAACAGCCAGAGAGCTCATAAAGGGAGAACCATTTCACCTTCACTTCCTATTTACTCCCTCTGGAGGGAATCTGAAGCCTTTCACAAAATCTGGCTGCAACACTTTAAGGCAACAAAGTGTTCCTGCCATTGCAGAAGTCACCTAATACATACAATTTTTGCTTTTATTAGATTCAGCTGAAATCATTTTTTGATGGCTTAGAGGAAAGGACATAAAGCTTACAACACCCCGAGAAGTCTTACCCTGCAGACTACACCTACATTATAAAAATCACCATTGCTTGTCACCATTCAATCAGCTGAGTGTCAATGTTTCTTTTTTACCAAATAATACTTACCAAAAAAAGTTCTTCCTAAAGCAACTAAAATCAGCATTTACAAGAGGTGAGCACCACCCTGCAAAACAATCCCAATTAAAAAAAAAATCCCTGCAAATTCTCGGTGTCTCCTAATTTTGGAGCATAAATTTGACTACCTGCATCAGCAGCAAATATCCACAAATCCTGAAAGTGCTATTTAAGCAGCAGGTGCCTGTATGGATCAGGATCACCCTTGATGCTAACAGGGACTTTTTAACCAGAGAACAAGAATTTATTAGTCTGGTTACCTCTCAGAATACTCTGCTGGTGGACTAAATCCTGAGAAGCAACACAGGACACTGGAGGGAGCTACAGAAACAGCAGTCTGGAGAATATATTCACTGACATCTTTGCCAACTGTTCCCCATATTTATTTTTTAGTGTGCAGTCTGACTTTTCCCATTTCCTGCTGCAGCAAACCCTTTACTAGAACCCATTTTTCAGGAAGGCTCATTTAAGACGGTTGTGCAACATCAACAACAGGCAGAAGGTGATGTGTGTTTGCAGGACATGCCAGAGGAACAGCAACAGCCCTGTGGAACATTTCACACAGGCAGGCATCCTCGAGTGACAATCTTACCTTCTGGGCTGGGACCGGCATTCTTCTTCCCCGCTGTCTGCCTCCTGCATACATAAAGAAAGGAGAAAAACATGAAAATCTTTTAAAACATGCAGAAAGCAAAGGCTTGTATTTCACTGGTTTGATTGTGTAAGGCAAGGGGAACTCCCCCTGCTCCTGCATGCAGCTGTCATTATAGAGGAACTCACTTTCTGCTCAGCTGTCACTTCATGTTCTCTCAAAAGCCTTTTAAAAACTCAACTTTACAGGAATTTTTGCCCCTGCAGGATTTTGCATGCTTTTGCACTGACTTCCAGTGACCCCTGCCAAATATGGCAGGCCAAGAGCCAAACACACAGTTCACTTCTGGGCAAAAATCTCTGAGTTTTTATTACCTTTATGGAGATCATATTAATTCATAGTCCAGTCAGCAGTCAAGTGTAAAAATCCACAAAACCAGCACGTAATAAACCTGACAAATCAGACTGAGTGAGCACAGATATGACCAGAAAGGAGAAATTTCACATATTACGCTGCTTTAGATGAGATATTAATATGCACAATCTCTAATGTGCTGTGGAATTTCACTAGGCTACCTACTACAGCCCAAAGCAATACCTCAGCAGAGAGATCTCAGCAATTAATTCTGCTTCACAGTACATTTACATGCATCCAGCCAAGCACTGGAGACAGGGTACAGGATCTGTTGTATTAGTGAGAACTTACTATGTTCGTACAGGTCCACAGGGAAAAGGCATTTTAAAACATACCAAGGGTTTTGTCAGGACAGGGGCATTCCGTGAAAACCAGAGTTCAGACAGAGAAAGGAAAAAGACAATTTTGTTCTTGGTTGCTCTAGGCTTCCCTCCTGCAGGTCTCCTTTGGCAATCCTGCCAGAACATAAGTTCCAATTGAGTTCCCTGTGGGTTTACAAGAAGTTGACTTGGGGAAGGAAGAGAAAGAGGTCAAAAGGGAGGGGAAGATGTTTCATTACATGCAGAATTGTTGAAGACATGATGGGGTTTTTGAATAAAAAGTGTGTATTTAGCTGGAGAACAAGTTCCTCAAACTCCACAGTAAGGCAAAACAACTAAAAGAGCCCTTGAAGTCTCATTTGTACTGCTCAGGAACTCAAGCTATGCAAACATTTTTAGTATTATAATGAATAGCTATTTCTACCTGCCAAGAAAAATCCTTGTCACAGCAATTGGCAAGCTTGGTGTGCCATAGCCAAAAGTCCCACAAATGACAGGAGAAGATCCTGAAATATGAGGATCATTATCTTAGCTCCCCTCAAAATTCAACCCTAAGGAGCTCAGTGTGGAGGAGGCCAGACATGGCCCGATTAATCACCATCTGTCTCTGCTGAAACTCTTACATCTCTTTGATAGCAGACATAAATGTAGCAGGTTTGTGTGAGGAGCACATTCACTCTGAATATAACTGACTACGAAAACAGAACTGTAGACAAATGTGATTTGAGCAAGAGACCCATTGCCAGTACCTGGGGTGCTGTCTGGAACAAAACTAACCTCCAGCAGCCTCCTCTTCTCATCAGCAACCCTGACCAACCTGCTGCCTGCTCCTTCCCTGCACCTCATGTTTTGTCCTGGATTTACAGAGTGGTCAGATCCAGGTATCTGAACCACCTTTACCCCATCCTTCTACAAATGCATCCAAGGACAGGGCGTCAAAGAAGATGCAGCCAATGCTCCCGTATTTCACACATTCCACTCCAAGTGGCTGCTGCCGCTCCCGCTGTGCTGCGGTCGCTATGAAATCCTGCAGCCACAGAACATCCCCCGAATGCCCGCGGGGAGCCCAGGCGGCTGCAGGGACGCTTCTCCCCGCTAGAGGGGAGGGCAGGACAGCGATGTGCCCGCTCAGGGGCCGCTCCCGGGAGGAACAGGCTCCGAGGGGACACGGCTCCAGCAGGGACAAGGCTCCAGCAGTGACACGGCTCCAGCACTGACACGGCTCCAGCACTGACACGGCCCAGCACTGCCTCGGCCCCAGGACTAACACGGCTCAGCACTGACACGGCTCCAGCACTGACACGGCTCAGCACTGACACGGCCCAGCACTGACACGGCCCCAGCACTGACACGGCTCAGCACTGACACGGCTCCAGCACTGACCCGGCTCCAGCACTGACACGGCTCCAGCACTGACACGGCTCTAGCAGTGACACGGCCCAGCACTGACAAGGCTCCAGCAGTGACACGGCTCCAGCACTGACACGGCCCCAGCAGTGACACGGCCCCAGCAGTGACACGGCCCCAGCAGTGACACGGCCCCAGCAGTGACACGGCCCCAGCAGTGACACGGCCCCAGCAGTGACACGGCCCCAGCAGTGACACGGCCCCAGCAGTGACACGGCCCCAGCAGTGACACGGCCCCAGCAGTGACACGGCCCCAGCAGTGACACGGCCCCAGCAGTGACACGGCCCCAGCAGTGACACGGCCCCAGCAGTGACACGGCCCCAGCAGTGACACGGCCCCAGCAGTGACACGGCCCCAGCAGTGACACGGCCCCAGCAGTGACACGGCCCCAGCAGTGACACGGCCCCAGCAGTGACACGGCCCCAGCAGTGACACGGCCCCAGCAGTGACACGGCCCCAGCAGTGACACGGCCCCAGCAGTGACACGGCCCCAGCAGTGACACGGCCCCAGCAGTGACACGGCCCCAGCAGTGACACGGCCCCAGCAGTGACACGGCCCCAGCAGTGACACGGCCCCAGCAGTGACACGGCCCCAGCAGTGACACGGCCCCAGCAGTGACACGGCCCCAGCAGTGACACGGCCCCAGCAGTGACACGGCCCCAGCAGTGACACGGCCCCAGCAGTGACACGGCCCCAGCAGTGACACGGCCCCAGCAGTGACACGGCCCCAGCAGTGACACGGCCCCAGCAGTGACACGGCCCCAGCAGTGACACGGCCCCAGCAGTGACACGGCCCCAGCAGTGACACGGCCCCAGCAGTGACACGGCCCCAGCAGTGACACGGCCCCAGCAGTGACACGGCCCCAGCAGTGACACGGCCCCAGCAGTGACACGGCCCCAGCAGTGACACGGCCCCAGCAGTGACACGGCCCCAGCAGTGACACGGCCCCAGCAGTGACACGGCTCCAGCAGGGACACGGCCCAGCACTGACACAGCTCCAGCACTGACACGGCCCCAGCAGTGACACGGCCCCTAAACCAGCACCTCCACGCTTTCTCGCCATTTCCAGCCTATTTCCAGAGGTGAAGAAGTATTGCTGCCAGTACAATTCATCAGCTAAGACACGGCTCAAACATTCTTTTCCGAGGACATCTTTGAGAAGGAACATGCTTGGAGAGCATCCTTGGAAAGTGAACGCAGCCATTTGGAGGTGTGACCTGTGACACCACTCCAGCTTCCACAGCTGCCTTTGCACAGGTGGTGACAAGAACTTTGGATGCTGCCCCAGCTCTGGGTTCCCTGCAGCACCCCTGATGCGACCACAGCGACAGACCCAAGAAATGGCAGCTGCCACAAATGCTCCTTGGAGATTCCTGATGCTGGATTGCTCCAGCCTCAAACCAGCCTCCTCCACCAGCCTGCACGGAGGAGGAAGCTGAGCAGCACTGATGAGCTCCAGAGGGAGTCATGCCCTGCTTTCCTTGACCAGAAACAGAGGCCTCAGGGGAAATGGAAGGAATGAGTCGCATAGCTCTAAACTAGGCCACGATATTAAATGCAGTTTAAAGTGAAAGATGAAAAATTCCATCTCTGCTCCTTTCAGGCCATGTAGGACAGAATATGCAAAACATTAATCCTGTTTGTGCTTTGATCCACTGCCAACTATCTGTCATCAAAAGGGCAAGGGAGAGGAGAGAAATTTTGGAGAGCTGTTCTGTTCTATACAATGGGAGTCACTCCATGTCACGCAAACAATTCTGCTCTTATAAATCTCCTTTTTGCAGACTGATGTAAGGATAAACAAGATTCAATCTCCACTCTTACGTACGGGGACTGGAGCTGTCTGCCTGGATTTAACATCAGGAACATCACAGCAAGTTCCTGTACTGTAAGATACGATTATTAGCCTAAGTCATGCGCCTAATAATCACTACATTTCTATTAACCAAGGAACATTTCACACAGACTACACCCTAAAAAAAACATCTTTCAAAGCTTAAAAGGATTCCCATTTAATAACTGCTGGCTATGTATGATTTTATGCCAACATACCTGACTGTATAGACAATGCCTGGGAAGTGTTTTTATCAGGAGTGAGTGGACACAGCCAGCAAATATCAAAAGAGCACCAACAATTCAGAGAGTTTTCACCCCTTAAGTCAACATCTCACTTGTAGCTGTGAGGTGAACACTTCAGACACTACAGAAAATTAGTTAATATAGATCCCCCCACACCCACAGCAACATTCAGATGTATCCATGCCATCAGAGGGGCTTTTCACTTAACATGGTCAAATGTCCTCCATGTGGACAGCTTTGGACTCAGTCTCAAAGGAGGAACTACAAAGCAAAGGACTGTAATGAAGTGAGCAGTCTCCCAGCTCCTGCCCACTCTTTCCCTGCCTACATCCCATCCAGGTGTTCAGACACACACTAAGTGTCTCTGAGCTGAACATGATCTTTCCTGGGAAGAAGACAGCTGCTTCAGTCAAATCAGAGGCTGTGCAACCAGGCACTGATCCAGTCGTTAAACCATGCAAGTGCTCCTTGCACAGCATCCACCAGTGTCCCAGTGTCCCTTGGTTTGGGCTGCAGCCACACAGAGCACTGCACGCTTCTCCACACGGGAGCTCTCATGTGCCAGCAAATATTAAGCAAGTCAGTACAAAAGCCACCCTCCCACAACTATTTCCCAACACATGGATAACCCAGTCTGGTCAAGTCTTGCAGAGGGTGCCACTGCTGCAGCCACAGCCGCTCCTCTAATGCAACACGAGGCACACAGAGATAAGAGCATCCACTGGTTGATGAGATTCCTTAGGGCTCAACTCCTGACACAGACACCTGGTGACAGTGGCGATGTCCTGGGGTACCCAACATCTGCACGGAACTGGCACCAG